TCCAAGGGTCAGGATTGCATCAAAATTTGATGCACCAAAATGGTTTGAAAATGCATCACGTCGAAATGCACTAAAATCCTCTGAAAATGCACTATCTCAAAATCTGAGCGCAGGATGCAATCTGAGCCGCACGATGCATCAGATCCAACGGCTAGATTTTATTCTCATTTCTCTCCACAAGGTGCATTCTTAAGGGAACCGGCCCCTATATATATGTATGTATGTGTATGTATGTATGTATATATATGTGTGTGTGTGTGTGTGTATGTATGTATGTATGTGTGTGTGTGTGTATGTATGTATGTAGTGTGTATGTGTGTGTATGTGTGTATGTATGCATGCATAGATGCATGGATGTATGTACGTACGTACACAGGAAAGTACCCTTGGACACCTAAGTAGTAGTTCATCTGGCAGCGTTGTACTTCGATGATGGTTGCCCGGTAGACAGACTCGACTCATTTTAACCTCCTTAATTTTCACGCTTTTACCTAATCCATCTTTGTAATTTTTATATCCAAAAGGTAGTGCAAAGCTTTTACAGAAAAAAAAGTAAATTTTCAAACTTTGGGGTGATTACTTTTTTACATATGATAGTGACATTTTTTACAATCATGTGATGACATCAGCAAGAGAATAGTCACCAGGGAACAGTCCAAACGTATGTGTATGTATATATATCTGTGTATGTGTGCATATACACATATAACACACAACAACCAAAGATTAAGCAACTGGCTTTTAAAATTTAACTAGGTGCTCTTAGTTTGGCAATTGGAAAAGTCCACAGCCAAGGGTAAAGGGTGTTAAGAACAAAAGCACACACACACGAATAGAAAGCAAGAAAGCAATAGAGAACACGAGATTTAACGTGGTTCGGTCTAATCTGACCTACATCCACAGGGGCAACTAGGGTTTGTATTATTGAGTGATGATGATTACAAGTACAGGAGATCAAATATATAGACAACTAATTAGGGTTTAACCCTTGCTGGACAAGTTATAGCAAACTGGGCTTAAAACCATTTGGGCCGGCCGAAACCCTAATCTGGTCTCCTAATTCTCAGTTGTCTACAAGTGGGCCACTTTGGGCCGATGACTACACATCACCAACAATCTCCCACTTGGAGTCTTTGGACCAAACTGCGGCTCCTCTCTGTACTTCTGTAAATGAAAAATCTTCCTTGATCTTCACATCTCCCTAGTTGCCCCTCTCCTCAACACTATTCCAGGAGACCAGCTGAAGCTATGCAAAGCTTCAGCTTATCCAGCACCACTGTCTTGGTGAACATATCTGCTGGATTCTTAGCACCTGAGATGTTCTTCAACTTGATTGTTCTATTACTGATCAATCCCCTCACAAAGTGATACCTCAACCCGATGTGCTTCGTCTTGCCATGATAAACTGGATTTTTAGCAAGTTTCACCGCACTCTCATTGTCACAGTACAATAAGTAGTCAGACTGCTGTTTGCCCAACTCTTTAAGAAAAGTCTTCAACCAAACTAGTTCTTTACTGGCCTCT